GGTATGTAAATTCAGGTTTTGAATATAAATGAACAGACCGAAGGGAAGGAGATAACCTAGATTCAAATGTTACGCGGCCTTTTTTGTCAAGATTGCGAAATGCTGGATTATGGCAACCGCAGATGGCCAGGCTGTCTAGTTTACTTGCTACATTCACTGCTGTGGCATATAGCAGCCTCCATAAGGTCGTCCACGCCGCTGGCTATCGGTGCAGATGACTTTGGTGTGTACATCGTCATCTATGCACATCAATCCACACTGGCCGAATGCCGTTCAAAACTAAATAAGAACCCTCTTAAATGTGACTGCGGATAGACCAGTCAGGTGGGACTAGCACTCCTTTGTCCACGCGTTAGACGCCGACTGTCGACGGAAAACGAAGTTAAGCTTTTCAGCTAGCTTATAGAGGGCCACCGTTATACCAGATGTAGCACCGATTTCACTAACCAAGGTGCGCAAGCGATGACAATTGACTCAAACAGCCAGCTCCTCTTCACGCAAAATAGCTTCCTTCAGACACTGCGGCTGCCATGGCACAAAAGTTTTAAGTTGGAGACCCGCAGCCCAACACGGCGGCAGGGAGACCCAGTTTCTCACTCTTCCAACTTCGAGACGGAGTTGGGCAGATTATACCAGAGGAACGGTTCCCATTCATCCTTTTCAAATTTCCAGACAAATATCAAGCTGTTATAAAACAGCATAGACCAAGTAGAGGTGAGACAAAAACACCGAAAACGTCTGTCCAATCAAATTTTATCAATTGTATTACATTATAAGAAGGTTTGGCAGATTTGCTTTAATTCGAGTTGACCAAAAAACTCGAGGCCTTCGGCGGGATTTGTCCCCGCGTAGTAGAGAAGGCCTTTAACGGAAGCCAACGCTCTAACCACCTGAGCTACAAAAACCCAACATGTGGTTCTTGCTAAGTAGTTCTCAAATGGCTCGATTAGAGAAAGATTGAAATATAGAAAAAAGAAATAAATTAAGTAGAGTGGGGCAACGGATAAGATGAAACTTGCCTGCATCTGTGCGACTGCGTCGTTTACTACCGTAGTACGCATGTTGTCAGCCTGCGCGAGAAGGTCATTGAGTAAATGCACATTGGCTTGTACTGTTGTCAGCATGTTGTAGATAGACAGCCCTGACTCAGCAGATGAGGGTTCCATTGGCCCTCTTTCAGCTGCGTACTGCACGGTTTTAGGAGCTTTTGATACATCTGCATACTGTTAAATGGGAAAAAAGGCAAAAATGATTTGTAGGGCCCACTACATATCCATCCCCCCGCACAAATGCTTAAAGTATTTTGTGGTTAAGCATTTACTTCTTGGCTAGTGAGCGTAAATTAATATGTAATTGTGGCGATATTGATCAAAAAATTAAATTAAATAAGATTATGTTTGCCTTAATATGCTACATCGAATTAAAATTCAATCAACATAAGGCTCTATTGCGTAGATTACGAAAGTTAACCGAGGGAAACTTGACCTTATGTAGGCGGAATTTAACGAAAAAAGAAAATTCTTCCTCCTATTGGTGGAATGAAATGAAAAAATTCAAAGTCAGGCTACCAAACATTTGAAAGTAGTTTTTTATTATAAGTCGACGGGATTTTTCGGCCTCTATAAACATTCTTTAAAAAAAATAAAACGTCGCTTGATGTATAGGCATCTTTTGGAGAAATCAATGAAATTGCATCAACAAGAGTACGAGAGAAGATGACATCTAAAAACCCGAATAAGTAAAAGGGCGGCAGACCTTTAAGAGAGATCGGGTAATATGTTCTTCGTTAAGTTTCCCCAATAATATAGAAGCATACCGACGTGAACATATTGATCAATAGCCGTCGCTCTAGTGCTGGGAGCTTTCTACCAAGAAACAGGTCTCCGCAAAAACCACAGGATAAAAATAAAACAACTCACCGTATCTAGGAAAACTTTAGAGTCAGCTAACTGACTTCTTGCCTGGATGAATACAACGTTCATCTCCTTAAGCAGAGGATCTATATTGGTTGAGCCATCTGTGCTCGAGGAGCGCTCATGCTGAGTTGTCCGCCAAACAAAGTCCTTCCGCATATCGGAAAGCTTTTGGAGACAATCCTGGATCGCCATTGAGAGGTCCTAATGGAAGAAGAAGGATCAGCCTGAAAGGCCGTGTCAGGCACATGAAGCACATTGACAGCAATCGGCTACAGAACACTAAAATGAGTATTATCGAGATTGAATGAAGTATAGCTTCCATAATCAATCAAAAAACTAGACCATGATGGGTTTACAGGGACAATCATACTGTTAGGCGTTATGACGGCCTGCCTGTTGGTTGGCAGTTTTGAGACACGATGGGAAGTCTATCAGGAACAAACGGCTGGAAAAAAAATCCACGGGACTATTACTGGCCCATTCTATT